ATATATAATCTCTTTTAATGGAGGGATTTTGTGTAATTTTTACTTCCTTTTGGTGCTTTTTGGAATTTTTCAACTAATTATTTTAATTCCATGCAGACACCCAGAGTCTCGTTAACCCTTTGTAAACCATCTCCCCCGCAGGGAAGGGAAAGGAGAGAATGATTTACAGAGTCTGCTGGGGTCCCTGAAAAACACTTCATAGGAGTTTAGTCTCAGCTCCTAAGTCTGGCTCTCCCTGGGAGGGGGGGCTGTGTACTTCTTTCAGTGTCTCCCTCCTTCTCTCCCCACTGCCCTGTGACCCCATCAGGACTTGCCTCTGTCCTTTAAAGGCTCAAACATCATCAGACACCCATCTTTGAAGCAAGTTTGCAGCACTGAGCTTGGAAAGACTGACCTTGGGATTTTTATAGCTGAAATTAGCCCAGGCCAGACCATGAACTAAACAACGGACACAGGACGGAAGAGGCAAGAGTACAGCTCTGCCATCAGAGGCATCTGTGTCCAAATCCCAGCTCTGCTGCAAGTTATCTAACTGCTCTATACATCAATTTTCTCATCTTGAAAATTGGAGATAATAATAGTGTTTATCTCTGAGAGGTATTAAGTGGGTTAAATGATGATGAAAGGCATTTAATGAGTATACTCTATCATTAGAATTAATAAGAACAATAAAATAACAAATCTGTATGACCAAACTTTGTTGCTTGGAGGCAAAAATCACCGTAACGTGCTTCCATCTTGGTTCCCACTGGTGGCACTTATTTGCCTCTGCTGCTCCTCTTGACAGGAATTTTTCTTTTCTTCCCCAACCAACAAAGAGCTGAGAGAAGACCTGAAGCGGGGTCTGGGTTGCTGCTTCCTGATTTCATGGAAGTCTGCTCTGCCACTTAAGATTTGTGTGACATTCGACAGATTCCCTAATCTCATGAACCTCAATTCCTCCATCTATAAAATGGGTGTAGTAATACTGACCTCACAGTACGTGTCAAGAGGTTAGACGGTTCCTGGCGCACAGCAGGCGTTCAGTACATGATAACTCTCCATCAGGGCTCCAGGTAGGGGCCGGCTCTTACCTGCCCCAGACCCTGCACAGTTCCCTCTGTCCCTAACAGCTGACGGCGTATCTTCCCAATTACACGGTAAACTCCTCAGGGCAGAGGCAGGGCCAAGGCCTCTTTAACTGTACGGAACAGTCTTCTTTCTGGGCCTGGGTCCAGGCCAGCCTCCCGGGGCAGCTGGGGAAGAGGGAGAGAATTGTCAGCCTTCTGGAGGTCCAAGACCAGATGCACAAACTCAACAGCCCCTCTTTCTTCTTCTTTTTTCTCTACTTTCCAAACCACAGCCCTGAGGCTGCTCGAAAAGAACTGGTCCTTTCTATCTGACTATGGCCTGGGAGAAAAGTTGCCCCATTGACTCAGGGCACATTTGGCCTGGTCAGAGAAGGTGTGAATTGTTAGAGCGGATCACCTGGCCCCTATGCCCCCCTTCCTATCCCTCTCCCCTGCAAAGGCCTCTGGACACAGGCAAAGGCCTCCTCTCTACCACCCCCTGCCACCAGAGTCCACCCATCACGCATTGATCCAGTGGCCAACTCTTCCTCCCTCTACCTGCTTCTCCATCTGCCCAGGGAACAGAGACCCTAGGGTTTAGCCCTCCCCTGGCCTGGGTCCAACGCCAAGGCAGCCGCCTCCCTCCTTCCCCTAGGTAATGGCTCTAAACAGGTACCCCGCAGCCTTCTCTGTCCTCAGCCCCATGCCCCCAGCTCCTCCAATCAAAGGAACCAGTGAAGGAAGAGGACACACATCCCAGACATCTAGGAAAGGGAGAGAAAGAGAAGCTGTCACAGAGCATCTCTCTGGGCTGGTAGGTGAAGCTAAGCAGGAGGGAGGAGGGGGGAAGAGCGAGGCTGGCTCGGGGAGGGAGACTCTGGACCACAGATCCGGAGGCCCAGACAGACAGAGACCAGCCCGGGCAGGGAGAGCTCTGAGCCCAGAGGGCCTTTTGGTTTCTGGGGTCCTGGAGAGCCTCACCCTCAGCCAGGGTCATGGAGCCAAAATGGCTCACGCTCCCAACTTGAGACCCACAGAGAGGAACTAAGCTCTTTTCCAGAAACGAGTGGAAAGATCTTTCCTGAGCCACGGCTTTCTGTCTCTGTCTTTGTCTGACTACCCTCAGGATTCAGGGGCGTTTTCCTCTGTCTCTGTGTTTCTGCATCTTTGTCTATCTTCTCTCCTCTCCTCTCTCTTTCTCTCTCTGCCCCCCATTTCTGTCTCTGATCATTTCTTGGGGACTCTGCCTCGGGGCTCCCGCTCTCCAGTGTGTAGGAAACCTGACCCTCATCATCTGTTTTTTATATTTTGGAAACGTCAGCTTCACTTCCTACCTGAGGGAAGGGGGGGTGGGGGCGCAGGCTGCCGGCTCCACCCCTTTCCCTCCCCCCTTCCTTTTCGGAGCCCATCCCCTCCCCCAGCTCCTTGCCCCAGGGAGGACAGACCAAGGCCTTCCCTGTGCTTGGTCACCCTGGCACCAAGAATCGGGCCTTGATTCACAGGCTTCCCTGTGCAGCTCACCACGGGCTGGGGGAGGCAACGAGGCCTCTTCTGATCCACCACTGGTTTACTGATTCGGGAAAAAGTGAAAATTCCAGACACAGAGAGAGCCCAGGAGGCTGAGAGATTTCACCAGTGGAAACCAGGAAGGAGAGCAGTTAAAGCCATTTCTGCCTCTAGGCAGAGTTATGGTTAGCTGTCTAACATGTTGTCACAGATGTTTATTTGTTTAATATCATCGTTAATACTAGCTACAGATTACCCATATTGAGGGCTTAGCTTGTGCCAAGCACTTTTTACGTCTTTGCATTTCATTCACTCAACAGCCTTACGGAGTAGGCACTACTATCATCTCCCATTTTCTGCATAAGAAAACAAATACCCAGAGAAGTTAACTAACTCACCCAAAGTAACTCGAATAATGCCATTCGAACCCAGGTGTTTTGGACTCCAAATCCCAAAGCTCTTTGCTCTACATCAAGGTTTCCAAGACCTGAGAAATGTATTTCGTACATTTCCTTTTAAAGAAAATAAATCCACAAAAACTCTAAGAAGAGCCCTTCAAGGTCCCAGGGGCCCGTGTATCCCGGTTGGAGAAGCTGTATCTGTAATTCACTATTTTCTGGGAGACCCTGAAGAACCAGCTAGCAAAGATGACACGGAAAGGCTACAAGCGGGCATTTCAGGAAAGGGAACCGGGAGGGCTACAGGGGAAAACACTAATGATGGCTGCAAGTCAGGAGCCAGTGCAGGCGGCAGGCTGGGGGAGTCTGGTTCTGTGCAGGGAAATGAAAAGGGGTTAACTGGGCCAGGTGGAGGGCTGGGGCCAGCTCACAAAGGCCTGAAGGCCCAGTTCAATTTATCCTCCAGGTTGCTGAGCAGGAGAGTGATACTCCAAAAGAGGTCTTTGAGACCTGGGCTGGAGGGAAAAGGCAGACAATAAAGAGGCTACTGGCCTTGCCAGGTCTTCGAGACAGGGCAGATGGGCGGACGGTAGATGTGGATCCTCAACCAGAGTTTTGTGTCTTTTTCAGTTCTTTGAAATGATGATTCCACTCCTTGGGTGGCAAAAAAAAAAAGAAGAAGAAAAAGCAAACAAGCACAATTTGGTTAAGAACTCAAGAAACTGCCAATTCAGAAACTCTAATCTGTTCAAAAAGTTCAATCCCTTTTTTTCAGAGTCCAAAAACCTATTTCCATCAAAGATTGTATATGTCTGTATGTCTGAGACCTGGCAAGGGAGACAGAGTGAGTGTGAGAACGAGTGCTGAAATGCCTTTGTTCCTGTGTGTGAGGCCACTGTTCCGTGGGCTCATGTGTGTGCATTGTATGTATGTACACTCAGGCCTGTTTCTCAGGCCCTGTGTGCACTGAACTTTCAAACCGTAACAGAAACACTGAAGCTTGGCAAAGATATCACAGGAACAATTATCTAATTTCAGAACATGTTATTATAATACCTACACGATGTGTAACGAACTCAACAATGTTCATGTTATATTCACCAACTCCAAGTTATAGATTCTCAATGCCAAGTCCTACCTAGGAGGCTCCTCCAAGACCCGAGAGCAGAGCAGGCCCCAGAGAAAGCTCGTTAAGGAATATTCCCCCCACAATGGCTTCCTTGGGGATCAAGAGGTTTGGCTAATAGATACCAAGAGATCTCTGGAAGGGGAGCAGAGCCTATCTTGAAATGGCAACTCTGTCCTCCCGGAATCCCCATTCCTCCCCAGCAAAGGAGCCCTGGAACTGGTAAGGAAATGGCCATATTGGGGTCACAGAGGTAGAGAGGCTTTCCCTGGCTCAGCTGTCGGCCAGGGGGGCCCCATGATCGGCCAGGCTCATCTCTTCCCCAGGCGGCCGGATTGGACTGTAGCTGTGTGAGGGGAATGTTTGCTGTTTGCTGCTGCTCCCTGTTGACTTTAGCCAGTAGCTCTGTTTACAAACCCAGGTTGGTTTTCCCAGCACAGTTAATTAGACCAAAGACATCTGGTGTGAGGGCTGGGGAGGGCATCTGCTCAGAGCCTTCCCCCTACACCCAGCAGCCAAGGGCCAGGGCAGGGCAGAGCAGCTAAACAGGACCAGACCAAACTCCACCAAACCCAAGGTCCTCAGGAGAATCGTGGCTTCTCTCAGCCCTCCCATGTTTTCTAAGTTAGACTGGGCCCCAGCTCTCCGAGTCTTAGGGGACCCCAGGAGTCAGGATTGGTTGTCCCTTCATCAGTGGGATCACAGGCTGGAGATCAAGAATTCAGTGCTGTCCTCTGCCCTTCCAGGTCCAAAAGAACCGGCCAGAGATTCCTGTCCCCTCTCTCATCACAGAGACTGTGCTTTCTGTCGGAAGGCCAGAACCTCTTCAGCCTCCTGGAGGAAAGATTTTCTAAGCCCTCCACCTCCTCCCTGACTCCTCTCCAGCCGATCTCTGACACTGCGGGGCGGAAAGAGATTAACCTGTAGACGACCAGGAGGCAGGAAGGTGCCCAGGAAGGTGGGAGGATCTAGGTGGACAGTTCCTGGGCGGTGGGGAAGTGGAGGGCTGGGAGGGGGAGGGGCAGCGGCTTATCTCTCCCAGGAGGGGGGAGCTCACTCCAAACAACTAATGCACTGGCGTGTGAAAGCTCCTCAATTAGCACTAATGATGCAATCAGGGAGGGAGGAGGAGGGCCCAGAAGTTCTGGTGGAGTCAGCACCTACTTACACACGCGGTATACACTCCCTTCCTCGGACACAGTAGCCCCTTCAGATACACTAATGCACACACTACAGAGACAATCTGGACCCCACACGTCCGTGGGTACAAAGACACTCTGTAAATTACTAGCACGAATATGGTTCGTGATCCGCTGCTAACCGCGTCTGACTGCGGGGATCCCGAGGCAGGGGTTCCACCTGGGGCTTCGGGGACAAAGAAAATCAGAAAACTTGGTAGAGGTTGAAGAGGGCATCTCCGAAAACCTCAAGATTTTTCTTCTGATCCCAGAGTTCCCGTCCCACCCGCGCTCGCAGGTGCCAGCCCCTCCCTCAGCGCCGCCTCCCCATCCCCCGCCCCCGAATCCGGGACTGAGCCAGGAGCCGCCACCCGCAGTCCCACTCGCGGGAGGCGGGACCCACGCTCCTTCCCTGCGCCCAGCCCGCCCCAAGGCCCCGGGTCCCCGGGAGGGCGCTCTGGGACCACGCGGATCCTCAGCATCCCGGACCCAGCTGTTCGTCCCCTCCAGAACCCGTTACCCGCTGGCCTCGCCCCTTCATCTTCCCCCCCACCCTGCCCGGCCGGCTCCGTTAGCCGCCTCCCGGTCCCGTTATCCGGCCGCCCCGACCCCATTATCCGCCCTTGCGCTGGGCCCGAGCCCCCGCGCGTCCCAGGGCCGCTGCCGCCCCCTCCCTTTCTCGCCGGCCGGAGCTCGGGGGCCGCGGGCTGGGCAGGGCCAGAGCCGCCTCCGCGCCGCTTCCCAGGCCCGGACGGCCGCGGGAGGAGGTCCCGCTGTCAGTCAGCGGGGAAGGCCGGGCCGGGCAGCCGAAGTGGGCGGCGCCGAGGATGGGCTCTGGCCGGGAGCTGGGAGGCGGAGGCGGAGGGGGCGGGGGCGGGGGGCGGCTCAGGGCCTTATAAGCGGCGGGGGCAGGGCGGGAGGGAGGCAAGTGTCAGGCCGATGTGCAGCCCGCAAGGGGCCGGGGTCGGGGCCGCCGGGGCCATGCGCGCGGGCTGGGCAGGGGACCCGCGGGGCGCAGAGCGTAGCCGCTTCGGAGCCTGAGCCTCCGGCCGGGGGGAGGGGAGCGATGCGGCGCCGGCGGGCCGCGGTGGCCGCGGGTTTCTGCGCCTCCTTCCTGCTGGGCTCGGTCCTCAACGTGCTCTTCGCACCGGGCTCGGAGCCTCCGCGGCCAGGCCAGTCCCCCGGGCCCTCGCCAGACCCGGGCCCGGGCCGTCGCGGGGGCCGCGGGGAGCTGGCCCGGCAGATCCGAGCGCGCTACGAGGAGGTGCAGCGCTATTCCCGCGGGGGCCCCGGTCCCGGGGCCGGCCGGCCGGAGCGGCGGCGCCTGATGGACCTAGCTCCGGGCGGCCCGGGCCTGCAGCGTCCCCGCCCCCCGCGGGCCCGGCCCCTGCCCGACGGCGCTCCGGGCTGGCCCCCGGCTCCTGGCCCGGGCTCCCCCGGCCCGGGATCCTCCGGCCCGGGCCCGCGCCTGGGCTGCGCCGCGCTCCGCAACGTGTCCGGCGCACAGTACGTGGGCTCCGGCTACACCAAGGCCGTGTACCGGGTCCGCCTGCCCGGCGGCGTCGCGGTGGCGCTCAAGGCGGTGGACTTCAGCGGCCACGATCTGGGCAGCTGTGTGCGCGAGTTCGGGGCGCGGAGGGGCTGCTATCGGCTGGCGGCCCACAAGCTGCTCAAGGAGATGGTGCTGCTGGAGCGGCTGCGGCACCCCAACGTGCTGCAGGTACGAGGGGGCGGGTGCAGGGATAAGGGTGCTGGCTGGACGTGCCAGTGCCCGACCACTCGGGCTGGAAGAGAAGCCTTGGTCTTAACAGATAAAGAAGCAGAGCCCTGATGACTACCCAGGTTAAGCTAGGGGCAGAACCCAGACCATGGCAGCTTCCCATTACACCACCCTGCTTGGGTGGGCGTCCCGTTACGGAGAGACTCCCGGGTTTCTCAGCTTCCAAACTGTATCTCTTGAAGACAGGACAGAGGGTCCCCAAACTCGGGGTAGGGGTGGGGGTCCATTCGGGCTTAGGACCCTGCTTCTGGCCGGAGCTGGGGTGTTGAGCACCGGGGAAGGGACCCCAGCCAAAACAATGAACAGAGGTCATCCCTGAGTCAGGGTCCCAACTGCAGTGATAGGGTCCCCTTTCTTGATGGAATCTGAACCCCACTTCTCTCAACTTCCAGACAGTGACTTGTCTGGCTTTGAAGTTGGGGTGGAACTGCAATGGGGTTGGGAAGAGCTAGAAAAAGACCAGGCTTGATTCCCAGAGAATATCCCGTACCCCACCCAGAAGCTGCTGAAAGGACTGGGGGGGATTGGATAGTAGGCCAGAAAATGCGTGGCCCTTCCCAGAAGAGACCCTGGCCTCAAAGTAGGCTTTGGAAGTATTGAGGAAGCCTCGGGGTCCTAGCTCAGTGCTCGGGGGACAGGCTGAGGACCTGAGGGTCTGCATGTCACATTATCTGAGCAAATGTGGCCAAGAGGCTGGAAGACTGAGGAGACCAGATGCCCAGGTTCCTACTAAATGGGACTCTGTCTCTCCCGTTCACTGGGGGACAGAGGGGAAAGATGAGACCCAACCTTGTTCCCTCCAGGCTAGACTAAGAGAGTGGGCCTCTCATAGTCCCAGCACTGCCCTAACACACTCACTTCCTCCTCTCCCCCAGCTCTCCTCGGTCCTTGAGTCAGCCCTAGGATTAGACGAACCGTTCCCTTAGCACATGTCAGAGCAGACTGAGAGGGGAATCCCTGACTGCTTTTGGCCCGGTGAACATAGGGTTTGTTCAGACTCCCCAGCTGAGGAATGTTGCCCGCACCTTCCACCTCCTAGCCCACTCAAATTAACCTTTCTGCACCCGGCAGAACTGGTCAGAAACCCAGGAATCCCTCCCTCCTTTCCTCAGGAGTGAGATGGACACCAGATCTGGGTGGGCCTGGCATAATAGGAGAGAGAAGCCGGAGAGCTGTTTATACTACTGCTGACTCCCAGTCTCCCTGGGCTACTCCAGCCCTGGTCAGACACACGTTGACTGGGTCCTGGGCCCTGGGCCCTGAACTGGTTGGAGAAGGTCAGGCAGAGCCAACAGTTATGGGTGGTTACGCTCCAGTGTCAGCCAACTGTTGCACGGCTGACACTGGAGCTACAGGGAGTGAGCAGTTGGTCACGTGGCCCTTCTAACTGGGAGGATCTTGTTCTCTTTGCTTCCCAGGAGCTCCTGGGAACCTTTTGGAAACCTGGGGTGTAGGCCAGATTCTGAGGCAGTGGAGAAGGTCTTGAGTGTGTTAGCAGGATATTAAGTGTTAGTTAATTGACTCAAGACCCCACCCCCCTCCCTTACGAGGGATTTGAGGTTTGATGCGCTTTCCTGTCTCTTAAGGAACTTCTCCCGCCCTCTCTTACCCCACCCAAACTTCAAGACGAACATCCAGCTAACCACCCTCACGCATATGTCAGACCCCCAGCCCAATGCTGAAGGTGCCAAAGAAAAAAAAAATTACGACTGAATAGTTTTCACTCATTTTCTCTCTAGACCGAGACTGGGTTGGCGGTGTTACTCTTACAGGGTCAGGGACTGGGGTTAGTTGCCCTAGGACAGAAGTGTTACAAGATGGAGAGGGCGCCAGGTCCTTTCTGTCAGGGGAGAGGTGAAAAGCTACCATTACGGGGAGGTAGAGGTACCTTAGTGTGAATTTAGGGACTGCTTTGGTATTGGGTCTCTTACATTCGTCCCCCAACCCCCAGGCCAGTATCCCTCTGGCTTCTTCAGCAATGCCACCTCTGCTCCAGGTAAGCCTGCCTGGGGGACTTCCTGCTCAGGAGGCTCCACTTCTGGTGTGCAGGGAACTAGAAATAATGTTGTTTTAATACGTCTTAATCGTTTAAAATTTCAAGACTGTTTGCTGAACTGGGGAGGAGCCAGAGAGTATTTCCCGCTCCCCGAGGCCCCCTCTGCCTCTCTGGCAGCCCTGAAGTTGGTGCTGGTTCTAATAGAAAAGGGCCAGGATAGCATGTCCCAATGGGCCCTTCTCAGAGCTTGCTCAGTCCGGGGACTGCCTGGGCGAGATCTCTCCGTCCATCTCTGTGACCCCTCCCCAACCCACCTCTCTCTCTCTCTCTCTCTCTCTCTCTCTCTCTCTCTCTCTCTCTCACACACACACACACACACACACACACACACACCACTCCCTCACGTGATAGATGCCTCTATAGCCCAGGGTCAAAGGGCACAAGGGTCTTCCCTCCCCTGCATCTCTGTTGTTCCCAGGGCCTCAGGCCTCAGATGGGGCCCCAGGCCTACTTGGGCCCTGATTCTGGCCCTGCTAGAGTATATTTCTTCTCCCAAAGGAACAAAAGATTCGACTGAAATGCTCAGCCTCACGCTTCCTGGGGGCTGGGGGGGGGTAAGTTAATGGTGTCTTTTTATTTTTTCCTGAGGGGTGTTGATTAATACCTCGTTAACAGCGCATTTAACGACCTCCGGGTGTTTAATAACCTTCAGAAGTTTCCCACAAAGGCTCAGACTCTGGGCAAGAAAATGAGAACCAGGCTCCAGGGCTGCTCCTTTTACCTCACCCCTACCTCTGCCCCACTGGGGTCTGGGGTCTCCCTGGGCCGATGTGGGGTGGGGAGGGTAGAGAGAGAGGGAAGAAGAGGGCCCCGGGGATTTTGACCCCCCACAAGCTGCAGCCCTAGTGAGCTGACGGCGACACTGAGACACGCCTTCCCTCGTGCCAGCAGGACTGAGGTAGCTGGCTCCAGGGACGGGGAGCTGTAAGGGCACTCCTGGGATGGAAGGGAGCATATAAGGACCTGGAGTGGAGCTGGGAAGGGTGTGAAGGGTGACAGTGTGCGGGGACATCTAGTTCAGGGGCTTGACTCCCCCACTGCCTCACCCCACCGGCACCCCCCCATCGTGCAGCCCTCCCCTCTTCCCACTCTGGCCCAGACAACTCAGCCTTTGTGTTCCTCCTCCCTACAGGGTGCTGGTTGTTTTGAGCACCGGCTGATCCTTAGCTGATGTGCAGCATGGTGGGAGAGACTGGGAGAAGCAGAGATCTCTGTGGATGCTGGTTGAGGTGTCAGTGACAGAGTCAGGCTGTGCTTCCCAGAAAGCCCTGGCCAGCTGAGCTGTACAGAGCCCCTCCCCCAGGTCACATGGAGCGGGCCGGCCCTTGTGACCCGTGCCCTCAAAGAACTGACCTTCCCCAGGAACCACCCTTACTACTCTGCCAGTTGATATGGGTCACCCCACCCCACCCCGCCCTGCCCACCAGCTATTCAGAGAATACCCAATGATATGCCCCTTGGATACTTTTTGTTCTGATCGACACTTGTTACCAATCCCAAGGGAGATTGCTTTTCCTCCAGAAAGACCAGAGCAGCGGAAAAATGAAGGTGCCAGAAAGTGAAAATGATGAAGCAAAGACAAGGATTAGAGCAGGGGAGGAGGTATAACATCCATTTGTTGGCTGGGCGATTAGCAAATGGTACTC